TACATACATACATATACACATATAAAAATAAAAGAAACATAGGTAGAAACAAAATTTTGAATAATAAAAATGGGATATGCAAGGTAAGAGAAAATCAGGTAAGATTAAGCAGGAATTATTGGTGAGGATTTGAAATAGAATGCTTAAAATTTGAAAGTGTCATAGAATTAAAGTTGGTTTTAATATCATCCGGGAGTCTAGCAATAATTATTCAGTCATTTATTTTCTTCATCTTCTAAATCGCCAAGGCATGCACCCCTACTGTTTTCTAAATTCCACCTTATTATGAGGTCACCTACAGTATTTTTCTATTATGCATTGAAGGATGAAAGTATACTCTTACTATGGTAAAAAATCAACAATGACTAGATATTGTATTTGTCAAATGTAGGGAATAAACCATTGTGATGGGGTCTGTGTTATTTTTCACATATGTCCTCACAATTAGGTCAATGATAAGTCTAATCCTTTTATGTGCCTAGAAAACCTTAGCAATTTTGGTCATTTTGTGCGTTTTAGAACATACAGTATTCATGCCCAAAGTTTGTTATTAAAATTGTTTTTTCTGGTCTAAGAACTGTAGTGGACAGGAGGTTTGGCAGCCCCTGCCTCACCTCTCTCCTCTACTTCTATTTAGTCACACGTATTGGAGAATAACTTATTTCTTGGCTTACTTTATACCACAGGAACACTTGTTTCATAGCATTTTCATTTGCGCATGACCCGCACATCATTGTCTGCACATTCTCAAGACCTTTTGGAGCAATCTATAGAAAACAAACACCATCTATTTACAGAAAACAAACACAATTTATTACAGGGAACAAACACCATCAATTACAGGAAACAAACACAATCTACCACAGAAACAGTTAATGATACTGTAATTCAGATAGTAATACAGTTTGATCACTGAACTAGGTTCCTGGTTTAGTAAAACCCAAGATCAATTTCAAATTCAGATTTTTAAAAATACACTTTTGAAAAAATCACATAACAACTAATAACTTGTGTGTGTTGATTTGTTTTTTCTTCAGAAAAATGAAACATTACAAAATGTACGTAAAAAACAACAAATGCAGCATCAATTTAGAATGTATGTTATAATGTAATGTACATACTTAATTCAGAAACACTAAAACCAACTTTTCTCTAAGTATGACTTCATATGTTCTTAAATATCCAATTGACTTGGCATGTATACACAGATCATTTTGGCAGGACACTTCACATACATCCTCATAATCAAGGCTTAAACATGATTCTGTTTAACACATGCAATTACAAGAAGACAAGGTAACATTTCTAGGGGCCTTTACTGAAGGTCATTTCCACTTGTAACAAAATGAAAGTAGAACCAAAAAATATCATTAGGCCTAAAAAAACCATAGCATTGTTCTATGTCTCATACATATCTTTGAAATCACGCAAGGTCTTGGATTCGATGCTGAATGTATAAAATGTGTAGGCTGCCGGCACACTGACCTCTGATGATTAGTGCCTAAAAAATTTTCACAAAAACGTGATGCGATAAATACAAAATTATTAATATTTTTGCTAAGTATTTCAGCCGCTCCGAGTTCCTTTTCTATTCTTCTTTCTTCCTATGGTTCTTCCATATTTACGTTAAATTTAATTCATTTAATACTATAATGACATACTATATATGTATACATACGTATATATATGTATGTATATGTATGTATATATACATTATGTATATGTATATATATATATATATAATTACATATTGTGACCGGACTCTAGACCTAGGCCTATGTATACATTGTGTCTGTATTTAACATATACTTCAATATTTGTCAATCTAAAGTCGAAGGTAGTTATGTGCTGGTCCCCGACCCTTTTATGTTCACTTGGATAGGCTTATCTTCATAATACTTCTATGAATACTTCAACCAAGTTGTCTTTACCCAGTACTGCTCGTTTATTTTATTCATGTGGGAAACTTTTGACCCATGTTGAAAAGACAAGAAGGTCTGTTTTGCATAAGTTGGTACTGGGATGCAATTGGTAGGAAGCCAAGATGCAGTAGTGTAGTTCAGGACAATAACATTTGGTGCTGGAAATTAAACTAGTAATTTTTATTGGCGGATGCAACATTTTTTCTTGAAGCCTTGTCACAGAATTATGTTGGCATCGATCTGGCAAGGTTCATGAAGATAAAGAACAAGTGACAAGAAAGGGTCTGCTAAGGATTAAAATTTGCTTACAAAAATTATGAGATACACCTGAATACAGTAACAACAATACGCAGGCTGCTAATGGACGAAACTGCAGCATACCCTCAATGAAATAATGGAATCATTCTGTTGTATTCAGGCACAATGTTTCCTGAGTGCTGCCTGAATGCAGGTACAATTCCATTATTTTCCTTTATGCTCAAAGGTAAAAAATTGATTTCGATGACCCTGACCTTATCCCTTGACCTTTCTTCCGAAAATTGAAAGGCGTCTTTTATTCGATCATTATGTACCATTTCACTAAATTTTATGGTGATATATTCAATGGTGATTCATTCAGTTTTTGCCTAATCTAGCTACAGACAGCAGTGAATACATAACCTCCTTGGCGGAGGTAATTATAAAGAATGAAGTGTTGCAGTCAGTCTTTATATGACCCTTTGAAATTCTAAGTGATATACACTGGTCTCCAGTTGGTCTCTTCTTTCAAGGTTACAATGCAATATTTTCAGTATAAAATACTATATAGAATTAATCCATGTAATAGTTTCCTAAAAAGAGTTAATATAATTGATGACAACAAATCTCATATATGGAACTACTGACCACATGTTTTGGTATTGTTCACATGTGACACAATTCTGGAAGTGTTGGAGATTCCAATACAAATTAAATTCAAGCAACATGAATGACATACAAATTACAGACTTTTCACATTATACGAAAACAATAATATGGGATTCTTACCGGAATTAGAATGTCTTCTATTATTTCAGGGTATCCTTCAGGAAGGTTCACACCTAATGCTGGACGATTGGCAATTGTAACCTATGGACAAATTTGTGTTAATATCTTAAAATTTGCAAATAAATTTTGTATGAATACTCAATGAGGAGGATAATAATTCAGTTGTATTAAAGAAACAGCCTAGAAGGTAGTCTGCAACGACACCTTTTGTGGTCGGTATCGATAATGTGTATGTTGACCTGACCTGGGGTTAACATCAGTGAGTTTTATTCACGTGACCTGTTTGGCGGGTACTCGACTGTCATGGTTTCGGTGCTAAAGGAGAAATAAAGAGCTGAGAAACAGTTTGTTTATTTTGGCCTATGATCTCTTTTTATTGTCATTTATCAGGTATGACACTCCTACCGATAACGAGGCTACTGTTTTGAATTATAACTGAAAAAGAAACTTTTCGTTGAAGGGCTACACTTGATGGGATTATAATAACAATATATGTTTCTATTCTGGTATTTTAACTCGCAGCAATTGGTATATGGACATGGTCTATGGTTACTGTAGCTTCTGCAGAGAGGTGCTTAGCTTGTGTTCACATCATTCCACAATAACAGGGGCTGAAATGAACCATAGAAGTGGGGTAATCCCCCTACTCTTACATACATCTTACCAAGTTAGCTGGGTCTTGCATAGCATCAAGTATAGCTGGATGATTGTAACCTGAAGAAAGCAAATTAAATTTACTTGCCCAAAGAAAATTTATGTAAGAAAATTATTGCACATAAATAGTTAGGATTAGAACTACGATTTTTGTGATAATAAGGAAAACCATTGTGGTGATGATGAAAAAAAAAATTTAGTGGCGGCGGTGGTGGTATAATGATGATGACCACTTGTTCTAGGAATCTTTATCTTGTCTCTTCACACGGAAGTATGTGTAGGCACCTGTTAGGTTTGGATGCCAGTGTGTGAATAATAGCTTCAACATTGTTGAGTATTTCCTCAGGAAGTGATGCATTCCATACAATATGTACCAATGGCCGAGGTTAATAATGATGGCCATAGTTAGGGCTGGAAAAAGTGCCTGACTAGTTGTCGGAAGCATTGACCGTTAACCTAGAGGCATTTTAGAACAAAAAACACTAATAAATGCACTATATTAAAGCAGGGGTGGGCATAAAAATTGGTCAGAGAGCCAAAGTGAATTTTTGATTTAACACCGGGGACCGCACCCAAACTTTGTTGTTTCCAGTGTGCTTCCAAAAACCTCAAAAAACTGCTTTTACACTAATTTATTCTTAGTTTTGATTTTACATATGATTGGTGCCGGGCTATAAAAAACAATTAATTCATTTTCGTGCGCTGCAGAAGAACAGCAGGCGGGCCGCAGGAGGGCCGCACTTTGCCCACCTGTGTTGAAAAGATAACAATTGGTTTTAGATGATATGTATCATAATGATCATAATTTCTATGGTCGGAGGCATAAGAATATTTTTCTCAGGCCTGGCCATAGCATTATGCCTAGGACACTGATACACTGTGTCTTCATCACCTCTATCATCAATACAATAAGATCAGTATTCAACCTTTTTTTTTCCATTAAAAAATTACAAATTTCAGACCACAAGAAGAATAAAAAAAAACATCAAACTATGGGGGTATATCAAGCAAAACTGACAAGACTCAATTGCCACTCAACTATAATCATGATTAATTTATTCATGATTTCATTTATATTCATTTCAATATCATTATCATTCCATTATCAATATTAATTAACCCTATCATTATAGTTAGTTGTCATTACCAAATCATCATCACTAATTAATTAACATTATCATTATAGTTAGTTATCATTACCAAATTATCATCATCATATCATATCCTTCACTTTACATTTACAACTGAAATATGTAATTGCATGAGCAGCATACGAATGCAACTCTGATGACAAGCCACTGAACAATGTGTGAACAGTCCGTGGAGAATAATTACAAATGGAAAAGAGTGAAATCATCCAAGTCAATGTCATAAATTATATCATTAAGAGGCAAAGCCAATCAGCATCAAAAACTATTCTAGACTACTGCACATACTGTACAAGTCATCATAACTTGCTTTTAGTAGCAAAGAACTGTAGGAAAAAATTTAATATGCTACAGTAGGTGCTTGCTTTTCATAATATTTGTCTAACTAGCATAGATAGATGGATATATTCACTGTAACACACCAAGGGTAACCCAGGCAGGCCATAATGCACACAGGACCAACAGCTTAAATGTCTCATCCAAAAGACGGTGCACAATCTGTCTCTTATACACATCTAGATGTGTATAAGAGACAGGCGCACGTACAATGGCTATTTCCAGTTTAGCCGACTGAGCTAAGCTGGTCCCTAACCACACCTCAGCCGACTGAGCTAAGCTGCTCCCTAACCACACCTCCTTTTCCACCCCCACCATCCCCTTCCCCACTGATATCAACTGTTTCCTGTTTTTCAATGCATGTACATTATCTGTGTTATGACTCAAAGGAAGCTGTTAATATTTACTTGATTTTTCTTCAAGGTCTCCAACTCACAATAAAAAAAAATTAAAAATTAACTAAAATGGATTCTTTAAAAAAGGTTCTGTAATATATCAATAATAAACCCCATGCAAGAAAGATCAATTAAAAATTCACTAAACCTTTTTTACTGTGATTGAGTGATTGATTGATTTATTGATTAATAAGGAATAAAAAAAGTTGTTTGTGAGGAAATGCTGGTACTGTACTTGAAATGGGATGTGGAGTACAGTAGGGGTAGGTTTATATGCATTGGTTAATTCATGAATAGATTGATCACAGATGGATAGGTACAGTAGATGGATGGATGGAGGATAAATATAATAGTTTCGTCCTCTGGGGTCACACATCAGAGCAACAAATAATGTACAGCAACAAAATAAAAACATGGGGTAATGTGAATATATCAATATTATTTTTATTATATTATTAAATTTTTAGACACTGATGCTGGTTTTGGGATGGCAAGCCTCAACTACTGTATTCATAAAATTGATGTTCACAAAACAGTTTGATATTCAATAAAGTATTCATTCAAAATGTCATGCCTGAAGAACATACAAATCATATGCACTTCTATTGTAGTTTGTACATTTTATTAAAGAGTATAATAAAACAAGATAGTGTACACCTGCTTGTAAATACAATGCTCCTTAGTGTAGGATACCCACTGTCCTTGGTATGGACTATATTATCCAGTTCTGCACTACATGTGATTTTCACATGATACAATATACTTTAGTACAGTGCAGTAGGTTTCCTTATTTTTCTTTACCATCATACCATCGTGTGCAGTGCAGTACCAGGTCATAAAGTGCATACAAGCGGCAGCAGGCATCCTATTCTGCCTGCGTATTGCATATCGCAGGCATCCTACTCTGCCTGCGTATTGCATATCGTTTTTTACGCTCTGAATGACTGTAGTTGGATGCTTTATTTTATTTATACATTTTGATTTTATCAAATAAATTACCTAAAGGTAACGATGAAATTTGCATGAAAATGTCCAGCATACGGTTGCCGTCAACGTCCACGACATAGTTGCCTAGACTTGATGCAAGGTCAACAACAAACTGCACATGTTTAATATTCTAAAAAAGCAAGAAAAACAATCTTACTCAACATTCAGTGCATTTATTTGTACTTGCTACATTTTTTTCAACAAGAATCTATTTCCTTTATTTTTTTCAATTTTTAAATGTATATATTGAAGCGTGGCCGGCGGAACCGGGGGGGCTGGGGACCCCCTTTTTGGTAGAAAACATATAATGTCTATGCAGATTTTTGTATGATCGGAAAGAAATGTTAGTGGGGGGCCCCCACTTTTTAAAATGTTCCGCTGGCCCTGGGGAATAGACAAGTGGGACAGAGTTAGATTACAATTTAAAGATTTTGTGTGAATATAACTTTTTTTGGCCCACAAAATCATGCATTTGATTACATTTTCGTTTGATATCAAAGTCAATAGGGGCATCATGGTTTCAGTCATCTCAAAAGTAACTAACATTTTAATTTTAATTTAGTAAACTTCTCACAAATGCAAAAGTACAAAAGTGAAGGAGACAGGTGACGAACACCTCTACAAGGGCTCGCTCCTTACAATATAAATACAACAATAGAAACTGGAAATAAAAAAAGACAGCACAAACACGAAGACAATAAAGGAATAAGAAAAATCATAAGGAGAATATTAAAGGGAAACAAGAATTGCCACAATGAATATAAAAATCATTTAAATAGAAATTGCCAAAGTAAATTTCAAACATAGAAATATGTAGAATATATTTTTTTTTTAAAGCGATGAAAATAAAAAAAGATGAAAAAAAGAATAAACCAATAAGGCAAAATAAAAAAAATAAAGTATGATAATATAGCAAATGAAAAATAGCCACAGGTAAACATAAAACAAGTTCAAATGGAAGATAATTTGGTAATTTCTGTTTTGCCATCAGTTTCACTTCTGTGTTTTGATATCTGATCTCCTGGGATTTATCAATCTCAGCTTAGCAAATGTTTTAAGTCAAAAAAGTTAAAATGTCTCTAAACAAATATCTTGCTGATTTATCAAACCATCTTAGCAAAATCTTAGCTTAAAAATCGTCTTAGATTGCGCATTTGTACAATCGACTTGTTAAGTTAAGCAATATTGATCTGACTTGAGTAAAAAAAAATGGATTTAAGACAAATTTAAGCTAATTTCTAGTTTGATAAATCCGGTCCCTGATCGCCAGGGAATTTATGTAACATGTTAGCAATCTGACTGCCTTCACATGTAAATGGTTCATTGCTGGCTACGTTGTCTGAGAGTTTTGCAGATTCATTAGTATTCTATGGTACATTCTCTGAGAATGATTCATAAAAATATTGTCACATTACTGTATGATATGTCATGATACAGTGCACTGCAATGTGTTTGCCTTCACAATATATGTTATCAAATGTGTGCCGCCTTTTCTTGTCTTGCAGTGAAAATGCAAATATTTTCGAAAAGTTGTGTCTACTGATAGTACTGATATAAACTGACTGAGAATCTGATTAAAAGTGGCAGATTGGCTGACCAACTCTCACTGACCGACTAGCTGACAGATTGTCACACTGATAACAATGACTGCCAGACTGACACTAACTGATAGTGACTCACTGATTCTGACTGATTTAACCAGACTGACTGGTGGACTCTTACTACTGACTCAAACTGATTTTTCTTTTTGTCACACAATTAAGTGTCACTGAAGATGCAATAATTTGCAATAATAATTTACGGACATTCAATTTAAACTTAATTTTAATAACCATGATTATTATTATACTTACTTTGTTGGATTTCTCATATCTTTTCATTAGTTCCTGGAAAAATTAAAACAAAGCAATTAATTTGCATAATGTTTTTCTTTACAAACATTTAATTTCATAAGGCCCTCAAATAAATCTGGTATTTACTGATGATACTGGCCTATGCACATGAATAATGTACTGTTAGCATGTACAGTATAATGCACACAAATCGTCGCTCACATCACGAACTAACACAATCAAAGTAGATTAAGTGTTAGTTCGTGAAATCAAGAAAGCACGTATTTTGACGCACTTTCTTGATTTCACAAAATACCAGATTTATTGTTGTTGACTTTTTGTGTGGTAAAGAATACAAAATTGCTTGACAACCAATACGCACTCGTTTTGACGCGCTACTGTAATTTCACGAACTAACACAATCTACTTTGATTGTGTTAGATGTCAGCGACAAAATATTCTAATCAACAATTTAAATGGATGCAGATCCTATACACACTTTGTTTTCAAGCAAGTAGTGAACAACCAAACGTCAAATGACAATTGTGTTTATGTAATCTAGGGTAAAAGATATAATATTGGCCTGCAATTTGATCCACAATCTGTACACTAGAGTGAACAGTTACACAAGTCTGTGCTTTAAGGGTTATGACACTGCCATGGTTGAGTCATTACCTGTTAATATAATCGTGAACTTTGATAAAATGTCGTGATTTTAATTGCGAAGCAGCCAATTCATATTCTTGACAGCAATTTGACCTCTGAAAGGTCATTGTTTGTCAAAAAAACGAGTCCCTAAGATGACTGAAGAGCGGAGTTTCTTTCTTTCGTTCTGCCGGGTAAAATCAATTACTTTAGGCGACGTTTGTAGACTAACCTACTCGTACCAACGTCCACATGTCGCGCTAGCCTTATCCTACTCTAGGCCTAGACTAGCTAGGATGGTATAGGCCTAGCCTTGAAGACGAAGGTCCCAATAAAAAACAACGTTGCTCTTTGATAGCTAACATTGTCTATTTAACATCACAATAATTCATTATTAGACCTATAGTTGTTTTTTGAATTGTACTCCACAAATCTCAACCGATACCTCGCACAACTGGCTAACGTCTCTATCTATTGTCGTGACGTCATGGCTCGCTGGCTCACACTTGTGATATGTCTCGCACTTGTGATCAAATAACACGCTGGCTCGCACTTTGGCAACATACACTTTGGCAACACTCTTTGGCAGTCAACTCGCCCCTAGAAAACCCGCCCTTGGAAACTTGCCCCATAAAAAAATGTACACTTCCTAGACTATGCAGTCTTCAAAATAAAAATTGTAACCTTTGGTAAGCAATTACATTTTCCACATACATAGAAATTTTTGAAACTTTATTAAAAAAAAACCTAAACCATAATTCACCACACTATAGACACTTTTTGACAAAAATGAAAAATTACGACTTTGTTACCCAATGAGAAGTGTTCTAATATAGACAATGGGTCGTGTCTCATTATTTGTTATAGTTTTATTATTCATTATTTTCACTTGACTCACATAAATAATTTTGTTCGAAGAACATTTATATGCAGTTGTACTTCACAGCACTTCACTTGCAATTTGCAATTTCTAGTCATAAATATATTAACTGTGCCGTGAATATATCAATAATGTACCTTGAAAGGACATGTTTTATTCTTTTCTTACATACATTACAATAATAATTAGTTATTATTAGTTATTAGTTAATAATTAATTTATCACCCTCTCTAGGCTAAAAAAGTAATGAGGGAGAGGCTGGGTTGTTTACACAAATATCATCTTGGGTTGTTTACAGGTGCACTGATATTCAAAGTAAAATACATGATTGAAATAATGCAAATATATATATAAATTAAAAACTTTTTTTTCCCCAAAATGTTTTTTCTTTTCTTTTCTTTTTTTTTTTGTATTATACCATAGAAGACATGTGGGTAGGGGTGATAAACTAATTATTATTTTTATTGAGCCTAATGTTGATGAAATATTTTTGCAAAGAAAACATGATTTTAAAATAAGGTATAAAAGCAAGCCAGCAGATGCGAAAAGGACCGTTCCAATGAAAGGCTACCAGAAACTGGTGCCAGCTAAAAACATCTGTTCTGCACTGTGCAAATACTGTAAACAAATCCCATGTAATTGACATAACATCTATATACTTGTCCATTCAACTGAATTTAATCAAAAAAGCAGTATACTAAAGCAATACTAAAAAATACTGGTTCATTCTCAATTTGTATTTAATTTTTGTATAAAATATAATCAAGAATACAGTATTTTGTATTTCTAATACGCATTATTACAAATGCTAGCTTTTAGATCCCTACTTTTATGTATTTTTGTATTGAATTTATATTACTCATTTGTGAATGTGAATTGATATTTATCATTTTTATTATTATAAAAACATTTTTAAAAATACAATATTTCACATACAATCAAGAATGTATTTCTGGGGGAAGGTTAACTAAAGGCTTGACAATTAAGTGATTGATGGGATGTTAGCTGGGTACAAAATTTGCCCATATATACACATCTCTAAATTGGAATTATTTATTGAAAATGAGGTTACAAACGGTACCTTTGATTTTGGGCCAGGACACTCTGTTTTCATGCTTGGGCCATCGTACTCTTGCGCCCTGGGTTTCGGTACTGCTGTCAATGAACAAGGACCTGTAACAAAAACATCATGTCGCCTAAATCATCAGTGATTTCTTTTCTCACCACGCTTATGTTCCCATCGAATACATCAATCCCACACCCTCTCCCGTCGGACTATCGCCGGCGCCAGCTATGTCGTCATGCTAAACTCTTGATTGAGAATATCTTCATTCATAAAAAAAATATGAATTCATAATTTGACGAAAATAAATTTAGAGTCATTTATGTTGGAAATTGACATCATTTTATGTAAAGCCATTGTATGAGGATTAGGTGAGACTGTATTTATTTCTTGTTTCATGAAGTTGTATTTTTAAAGATCGCCAGATAGTTTTGCCAAAAACATCCTGACGGAGGATAAAATAAAATTTTATTTTTTAATGTAAACAGTTTAGTATGGAAAAGTTCAATGCTTTAAAATTATATAAATAGGAAGAAATATTTTTGGAGATTTTAACCTAAAGGCTGCGATGGGAATAATAAAAATAAAGAAAAACTTTTTTTCTGAAATTTACAATTTTTGGCAGCGGGTGTGCTAATTGGCCAAAAATTTTAAATTTTATTTTTATTCTAAAATATCAACATTGGAGGGCGCGGGTTTCGCAAAACAAGATATAAAAGAAGCCTCGCCTTAACTACAATGTGACTGAAAACTTTATATATATCATAAATTGGCGATTTTATCCCAGTCTTACTAGTTTTCCACTATGTGAATTTATTTGTGTGAATTGAAAGCGTTTTTGACCATCCCATGCAGTTTAAATTTCAAGGTTACCACTACCCTGACCACCAGATTGTTCGCTTGTGGTTATTCAATACGGCAAATTTTGGAGTTCGGTTTTCTACTTTTTGGGAAGTGAAATATGCGCAACCAATCAGATTTTAAGAAAAGATTTTACAGGCCCATGAACAGAATGGAATTGATGTGTGTATGTATAACCAAGGTACTCCGACACTTCAACGGCACGAGGCAGCAATGTTAGTGACAAAATATGTATCGCCAATCTTATGCTCATGTAGAGTAGTAGAAAATATAAAGCGCTGACACAATATTTGTTTGTGTTGTGCTCCTTTAAGCTCTGTCCACACTCTCAAATTTTTGGTTACAAATTTCTGTGATGTGCCCATATATGGGCATGATGATGCCACACTACACCCAAATGAGGGCATCACGTTTATTGATTCTTAGCCAGCCTAGGTTTTAGGTTTGCTTTTAGCTAAGCATTTCCTACAACAGCCTACAACTACGGTGTAGGGCCTACACTACACAAACAGACAGCTGACAGTACATGAATCAGATGACGATCGAGATGGACTTACCAGTGTTATGCAAGTACGCAGGAAGATTTAACCGACCACAACTATTTTTTATGTGGTTTGCTGAAAGTTTTAACATTTTACACGTAAACATTGTGGACTAAGACAAAGAAAACAATAATATCGAAGTCTGCTCCACAAATATCTGCACAGTCGTACATCCAACTCTTCGCTCTGCTACGTAGAAGCTGGTTTGTTGTATTTTAGTTGTGACTGGACTTGTTCAAGCGTGAATATTGACCTGATGTAAACATTCACTCTCTAAATACGGATTAATGATTGGTGAAAACGTTAACGATTGACCTTCTGGAGTTTCTGCTCTCATCTGGTTTCAACCTGGTTCGCCCAGAGGAATCCATTTCGCAACATAGTGGAACCGGGCCAGAACTGATTAAAAACACTGTATTTCTTCGGATACTGTATTTTTTTTTTCTTTCATTTCATTTTATTTCTTTAGGCACGAGCGCCAAGATATGCCAATAAGTGAACTTAATCACTGTCCTACGTGGCATATCCATTTAACAACAGGGGACTTTAATGGACCAGTACACCGGGGTAACCCCCTACTTTTCTCGAAGGATGCACTGGGTTCTTAAAGTGCACACGAGCCAAATAGTCAAGTCCGAAATGTAGCAATATCAGAGGTTGCATTTTTTTTGCTATATTTTTTAAAATTTGGATATGATGTAGAGTAGACTTTGATAAATCAAAAAAGTATGTGCAACATTTTTTTTTCATACGTAAGGGGGGTTGCCAGCAGTTTCAGTTTCAAAATGGCCGCCATTTTTTCCTAAAATGTTCACTAATACTGTAATTTTATGTCATTAAAATGCAGTATTCAATTGGAAATTCACTCATAACAATGACAACAACAGTTAACTAAATATTGTACACATTTTTGAGCTATTACAATTTAAAATGGTTGCCATTTTCCATTATTTTAGCTTTTTAGCATACATATTAATATAATAATAATAACCGATCTGTACTGTAAAATGAAAACGTATGATAGAGCTAGTTATATGCAATTGCCATATGCTGTTAATGGTTATTACCATAATATATATGTGATATATATATATATATACATATATAAATAAATAAATTTGTTTTGACATCTTGCCGTGTGAATTGTGATAGGTACCGCTGAAACCAGAAGAAGAGTGGCTCTTCAGCGAATAGACGATCATCTTGGACCAGAAAGAGCAGTAACGTTAACCAGGCTTCCATGCTATTACCGGTTGTGATAAAAATAATTACAGGGCATATTAATGGTGTTGGGAAAAAACAGCCCTTAAGATGTTTATGAAATCGCCACCTGCTTTATGGAAGATGGTAAATTGAGACCTGTCTTGTCAGAAAAGCAGGCTGTCCCTGAAGCAGTTGCTGAGCTTAACAGATGTACCTGTTCAATATGTAGGCCTACATGTTCAAATAATACATGCATGTGTAGGAGAAAATTAATAATCTTCAGTGTACTGAGATCTGTAACTGCGAAGCGGAAGGGAGTTCCTGCAACAACATTCCATCGTTTTCTAGTGTTTCTGATTCATCAGACAGTGATAGTGATGAAGAAAGTGATAATGAACATTGGCATATTATAAAA